TGGCAGCTCGTGTTGGACTTCCTGACCTTGGAGGACTTTTCCAACCTTCACAATTCTGTGAAATGATGAGGGACAGGAATCTCCTGAAAACCAATTTGGGGTTTTTGAAGGAAGGCTTGGTTGGTTTTGTTGCTTTTTGTTCATTTGGGGTTTTTATTTGGGCTCCTTTATTTATGACACTTCCCAGCCCCAAATCTTCGTGTCAGCCCCAAAACCCCTCCCCTAACTGACAAATAATGGAGTTGAGATTTTTATTGCTGAAAGATTAGAGAAGAAACATTTCCTCCTGTGGAGCTCAGTTGAGTCGTTGTCATCTCTGACAGCTTTTTGGGAATGCTCTGTGAAGCTGCTTCCAATTTATCCCAAGGGTTTTCCAGGGGAGTAAAATGAGTGCAGATGAGGAGAGGGAAAAGCAGAAACAACACCTGAAATTGTTATTTTAAGAGGAAAACAATGTCTCGGTTTGAACTGCCTGCGTTTCACCACAGCTTTGTCACTTTGAACCACGATCCTGCTCCGAGGAGTGAATTTCAAGTGGCAAAAAAAAAAAAAAAATCCCTGTTTAAGGCATTTTCCCCTCTCTGTTTAGACTCCAGTGTTTGAATTTAATGACACAAACACATTTTGATGCCTTTTTTGCTGTTGGGAGGAACAAATCCCGCTGGGAACAGGGAGCTGCTGGCTCCTGCTTTCCCAGTCCTGCTCAGGATGGGAAGGGAGCAGCTCCAAACATCTCCATCCTCCAAACTTCCCATTCCCAAAGTGGGTGAAGGCATCACCCCTGGGCTGGGGCAAACTGGGATCTCAGGGGGAGGAAGAGGGAGGCAAATTCCTGGGAAAACTTGGAATAATCAGTGATTTTCTGGGAAAAAATGGAATTTACACCTTTTGGCACTGAGGGTGGTGGAAATCCCAAACCTGGGGATGGTTTAATGGAGGAGGAGATTTCCCATCCCTGGGTCCATCCTGAAACTCCCAGAATTCCCAGAAAAAATCCTTGGGAGGTGCTGACTCCGAATGGAACATCACAGATTGAAGAGGTTTTTAAATAAACATTTGGGGCTGAGCAAACAGGAATCGATTCCTGATCCATTTTGTTGCTTCCTTAACTTTGCCTTTTCTGCTGGGAATTGATCCACCATCGATTCCTGCTCCCTCCTGGCTATTTTAAAGCTGTTGATTGTTATTCCCTGATTTTTCCTTGGATACTGAGCCGTTGCTGAGCTTATCCTTTGCTTTCCTGAGGAAATTGTTGTTATTTTAATGAGTTCTGTGGTTTTTCTCCAGACCTTTGCTGGATATTCCACACCTTCCTGAGGTTACACCACTCAGGGAGGGGCTCTTTCCTTGGATTTTCATCCAAGGGGATTGTAGAAGATTAAGATGGAGGGAATGGGAAATTCCTACTCTGATTATGTTCTGGTTTATGGAACAAAAATTAATTTTTTTGCTTCAGTGGGAATTCAGAGTAGTGGTGGGACTGGCATTGAGCACTGGGATCATCACTCCATTCCCAGTTCTTTCCATGAAATCCTGGAATGGCTTGGAAGGAATGTTAAAAACCATTTTATTCCAAGCCCCTGGATGGGCAGGGACACCTCCCACTGTCCCAATGTCCAACCTGGCCTTGGACATTCCAGGGATCCAGGGGCAGCCACAGAAAATCTGGGAATTCCAGCCCAGCCAAAAATTCCCAATATCCCATCCATCCCTGCCCTCTGGCCCTGGGAGCCATTCCCTGTGTCCTGTCCCTCCATCCCTTGTCCCCAGCCCCTCTCCAGCTCTCCTGGAGAACTGGAACACCCTGGCACAGTGGGAAGTGTCCCTGGGTTGGAATGGGATGGGATTTAAGGTCCCTTCCCACCCAAATCATTCCATGATTCTGTGATTAACAAAATAAGAAAATCATCAGAAAATAAAAAATGGAAATATGAATTCATTTCTCCTCCCAGACCCATCACAGGCACCTCAAATCCCACAGATCAGAAATCCCTGGGAATGTTCAAGGCTTGGAGCAACCTGGGATAGTGGGAGGGGCTGGGATGGGATCTTTGACTCCTCCCAACCCAAACCATGCCATGATTCCATGAAATGCAGCTCCTCAGGAACTCTTGGATGAAATGTTTGTTCCCATGAGTTGTTGAATTTCTTGGGAATTTCCCTGAGTCATCCAAGGTGAAATCCCAGGGCCACCCACACAAATCCCGTGGTTTCCAAACTTAATTTATGCTGGGTTTTGGTGCTGAGTTTTAGACTGTGCTGATTTTCCAGACCTAGAATTGTCCTGGTTTTTAGTGCTGAGTTTTAGACTGTGCTGATTTTCCAGGCCTAAATTTATCCTGTTTTTTGGTGCTGGATTTTCAATTCTGCTCCTTTTCCAGACCTAAAGTAATCCTGGTTTTTGGTGCCTAGTTTCAGACTCTGCCCATTTTCCAGACCCAAAGAAATCCCAGATTTTGGTGCTTAGTTTTACACTCTGCCCATTTTCCAGACTTAAAGTAATCCTGGTTTTTGGTGCTGAGTTTTAAAGTGTCCCCATTTTCCAGACCCAAAGAAATCCTGGATTTTAGTGCCGAGTTTTAGACTGTGCCCGTTTTCCAAATCTGATGTAATCCTGGTATTTGGTGCTGAGTTTTAGACTGTGCTGATTTTTCAGACCTAAATTCATCCTGGTTTTTGTTGCCAAGTTTTAGATTCTGCCCATTTTCCCGACCTCAAGTAATCCTGGTTTTTGGTGCTGAGTTTTACACTCTGCCCATTTTCCAGACCCAAAGAAATCCTGGATTTTAGTGTCAAGTTTTATACTCTGCCCATTTTCCAGTCTTAAAGTAATCCCAGATTTTGGTGCTTTGTTTTAGACTGTGCCCATTTTCCAGACTTAAAGTAATCCTGGGTTTTGGTGCTGAGTTTTAGATTTTGCCCATTTTCCAGATCTAAAGTTGTCCTGGTTTTTGGTGCTGAGTTTTGGACTGTGCCCATTTTTTAGACCTAGAGTAATCTTGTTTATTTGTGCCAAGTTTTAGATTCTGCCCATTTTCCAGACCTAGAGTAATCCTGTTTTTTGATGCTGAGTTTTAGCCTGTCCCCATTTCCCAGACCTAGAGTAACCCTGGTTTTTGGTGCTTGCTCAGATCAGGTGGACCAAAACAGCAGGAAGTGCCTCTGACAGATTCCAAGATTCCAGTGTCTTCAACGAAACCCTGAGGATTTCCAACATCCAGAGACACCAGGGAGGTCGCTACTACTGCAAGGCTGAGAACGGCCTGGGCTCCCCAGCCATCAAATCCATCCGAGTGGACGTGTACTGTGAGTAAATCCTTGGAATTCTGCCTTTGATCCTCTGGGAATTACAATTGTTACAATGTCTGTTGTTCCCGAGAAACGTTCGGCTCCTCGTGAATCCCGATTTTAATGGCGGGTGGCTGAGGGTTTTTGTGGTTGGGAGAATGTGGAGGGTTGGGATTGAAGGGGGAAATGTGGAGGGTTGGGATGGAGATGTGGAGGGTTGGGATGGAGATGTGGGGGATTGGGATGGAGATGTGGGGGTTGGGATGGAGATGTGGGGGATTGGGATGGAAAATGTGGAGGATTGGGATGGAGATGTGGAGGATTGGGATTGGAGTGGAAATCTGGAGGGTTAGGATGGAAATGTGGAAGATTGGAGTGGAAATGTGGAGGGTTGAGATGGAAAATGTGGAGGATTGGGATGGAAATCTGGAGGATTGGAGTGGAAATGTGAAGGATTGGAGTGGAAATGTGAAGGATTGGAGTGGAAATGTGGAGGATTGGAGTGGAAATGTGGAGGATTGGGATGGAAATGTGAAGCATTGGGATTAAAGGGGGAAATGTGGGGGATTGGGATGGAGATGTGGAGGATTGGGATTGAAGGGGGAAATGTGGAGGATTGGGATGGAAAATGTGGAGGGTTGGGATTGCATTGGAAATCTGGAGGATTGGGATGGAAATATGGAGGATTGGGATTTTGGTAAAGAATGTGGAGGATTGGGATGGAAAATGTGGAGGATTGGGATGGAAATGTGAAGGATTGGGATGGAAATGTGGAGGGTTGGGATGGAAATGTGGAAGATTGGAGTGGAAATGTGGAGGATTGGGATGGAAAATGTGGAGGATTGGGATGGAAATGTGGAGGGTTGGGATTGGAGTGGAAATGTGGAAGATTGGGATTGTGGTAAAGAATGTGGAGGATTGGGACTGGAGTGGAAATGTGGAGTGTTGGGATGGAAATGTGGAGGATTGGTGTTGGAATGAAAAATGTGATGGATGTAGATTGCAAGGAAAAATATGGATTTGGATTGTGGTGAAAAAATAAGAAATATTTGGATTTCAGTGAAAAATGGGAAGGATTTGGATTGGAGTGGAAATGTGGAGGATTGGGATGGAAATGTGGAGGATTGGGATTGCAGTGGAAATGTGAAGGATTGGGAATACTGGGGAAAATGTGGAGGATTGGAATTGGAATGAAAAAAATTTGAAGGACTGGACTTGGAGTGAAAAATATAAAGGATTGGGATTGTGGTAAAGAATGTAAAGGATTGGGATTGCAAGGAAATTGTGAAAGATTGGGATTGGAATGAAAAATGTAAAGATTTGGATTGGAGTGAAAATAGGAAGGACTGGGATTGTGGTGAAGAATGTGAAGGATTGAGAATGCAGGAGATGTGGAGGATTTGGATTGGAATGAAAAATAAGAAATATTTGGATTTCAGTGAAAAATGTAAAGGATTGGGATTGCAAGGAAATGGTAAAGGATTGGGATTGGAGTGAAAAAATGTGATGGATTTTGATTATGGTGAAAAATAAGAAATATTTGGATTTCAGTAAAAAATGGGAAGGATTGGGATTGCAGGGAAAAATTTGAAGGGTTGGGAATGAAGGGAAAAATGTGATGGATTTGGATTGTGATGAAAAACAAGAAATATTTGGATTTCAGTGAAAAATGTGAAGGATTGGGATTGTAAGGAAAAATAGGAAAGATTGGGACAGCAATGAAAAATACAAAGGATTGGGATTGCAGGGGAAAATGTGAAAGATTGGGAGTGCAGGGAAAAATGTGAAATATTTGGATTTTGGTGAAGAATGTAAAGGATTTGGATTATGGTAAAAAAAATGTGAAGGATTGGGAGTGCAGGGAAAAATGTGAAATATTTTGGATTTTGGATTATGATAAAATTAGAGAGCCTTAATTCCATAGCATTACCTGGCTGTGGATGCAGATTTCCTCCTGGAACAAACTCCAGGAAAAATTCCATGAGGTTGTTTAGATGAGTTTTATCCCATTCCTTTCCTAAATTTAAAACTGGTTTTAATGGCTGTGGTTAGATCAGCCTGAGACGAGCTGGTGTCAGGTGAAATTTGGGATAATTGATGCCATCAATATCCCTGGAGTGCAAAGACAGCTCCTTTTCATGGCCCCAAAATTCCCTCTGTTTGCAGGAACCTGTGAACAGGCAGAGGAATAGGCCTGGCTTACACTAAGAGCTGAGTTTAAGGCTTAAATTCGCTGTTCCTGACTGCAATACTCAGCTCCTGGAGAATTCCCTGTGTGGGGTTTGTTTTTGGGGGCAGATCCTCGTGGAGGTGAGGAGGGGTTTTTGGTGGGGGTGGTCCCACCAGAAATGCAGAATTATGGGAAAAGAAATGTTGGGAAAACCCCCAAGACCATCAAGCTTTAAATCCCCCCACAGCTGTTAAATCACATTTTTGAGGCGTCCCCTTGTGAACATTTCCAGGGATGGGAATTCCAACATTCCCTGGGGAGCCTTTCCCAAACTCCTTCAGTGAAGAGATTTTGCTTTTTGGCTCTTTGATAAAATCATGGAATGATTGAGGATGGATCTTAAATCCCCCCCCAGAGCCACCCCTGCCATGGCAGGGACACCTCCCACTGTCCCCAAGTCTGGACTTGGACACTTCCAGGGATCCATGAGCAGCCACAACTTCTCTGGGAATTCCATTCCAATCCCTCCTCATCCTCCCAGAGAACAATCTCAGCATCCTCCACTTGCACGACTCACGGTGGTTTTGGATAATGAAAGCAGCACAATTAAGAAAATGCAGATTCTGACAAATTTTTCCTCATCCTCCATCTCCAGCCCCATCCCTCTCTGTAATTCCAGGCTCTGGAGAGCATCCATGGATATCCAGGTGTAGCCAACCTGAGCCTTGCTCCTGGGCCAACTTTTTTTTCCCCAAAATCAATTTTAATGAACTTCTAAGAGTTAATTATCTTTGGGAATCTTGATCCCAATTTGAAATCCAGCTTAAAAACAACCTCAGGGAAAAAAAAACCAACAAAAAAATAGATGGGGTTTAGGTGATCCACTGAGGGTTTTTTCCAAGCTGGATTGGATTTTAATTTCTCCAGGAATGCCCTGGGAATTCCATCCAGTCAGCAGAAATATTTCACTTGTCTGGGTTTAGGCTTGGCTCTAAATGTTCCAATGATTTATTTTATTATTTATTATTATTATTATTTATTTTTATATTATATATATATAAATATATACAATATAGAGAATATATTTTATTTATTTTATTATTTATTATTATAATATATATAAATATATACACATAGATAATATCTATTCTATTTATTTTATTATTTATTATTATTACAATATATATATAAATATATACAATATAGATAATAGATATTGCATTTTATTATTATGTCATTATTAGTCGATTTTCCCCTTTGATTTGTCATCTTAATTTCCTTCCACAGCCTCCCTTTTTCCTCACCCCCTCACTGTTATTTACACCCTCTAATCCTGGTTTTCCTTTTATTTCCCCTCCTTAAAATATTATTTAGGGAAAAAAAAAATCTGTATTTTATGTTCTGCTGGAGTCAGACTGGGGGGAAAATGGGATTTTTTTAGAGCAGGGATTGCAGGGCAGCACTGGAGAGGTTCCTGCTCTGCCATTTTTCATGGGAAAGAATTTGAGGCTGGAAAAGAAATGGGAACCTTGGAAGAGAAATGGGATAGGAGGGAGGAAATCTGGCATTTGCTGTTTTCCTGCAATCAGGGAATGCTTTTGGGATTGAAGGGACCTGAAATCCCATCCAGGGATCTGGGGGCTTCTCTGGCAATTCCAGCCCAGCCAGGAATTCCCAATTCCCAAAATCCCAATTCCCAAATCTCCCCTTTTCCAGCTCAAAGCCATTCCCTGTGTCCTGTCCCTCCATCCCTTGTCCCCAGCCCCTCCCCAGCTCTCCTGGAGCCCCTTTAGGTCCTGGAAGGGGCTCTGAGCTCTCCCTGGATCCTTTTCCATGTGAATAATCCCAATTTTTCCCAAGCCTTCCTCATTCCAAGCCTCAGCTCATCTCCACCACCAGCTCTGCACCCCCTTGTTTATTATCAATTCAGAAATAATCAATTATTTCAATTTTTCTCTGTTCAAATATTTTTATTCTCCCTTTAGAGCATTTAGAAATCCAAAATAAAGCAGGGAGAGAGCAGTGGGGTCTTACCAGGAGCCCCTCCTCGTTATTTACACTCCATTAATTCCGAATTTCCCTTTTAACAGGGATTTATTTAAACCTTTGAAGGAGCCTCTGGAAAAATTGCTCTGAGTGGAGATGGATGTGCTCTAAAACCAGACTTTCCTAACCCAGTTTGTTGTTCATTAATTCCACAAAATTAAGTTTCTGTCCTTTAAGGAGTGGAGGAACGAGCATTAATTAGGTTTGGGCTTATGAAACCAATAATTAGTGACTTAGGATGTTAATACTCCCAATTTGTAACAATTATTCCACGTCGAGCACGTCAGGTGGCCTTTGACATCAACGCCTGCTTTTCCTGGCTTGGGAAATCCATTTTTCCTGCTTTTTTATTTTTTTTTTTTTATTTTAATGGAAAAAATGATGCAGGTACAGAGGGAATTAATAACCCAAAATTACTGTTAGGAAATCTCAGTCCCTGCAGCGTCAGAGTGGATTTAAATCTTGTTTATTCCAATTTTTTTTGTTGTTTTGGGGTTTTTTTTGTTTTGTTTTTGGTTTTGGTTTTTTGGGGGGTTTTTTTTTGTTTTTTTTTTGGTGGGTGCTCCTGGTCCATCTGGATTTTCCAGCACGGTGGGGATGCAAAGGGAACTCGGGAAGAGCCTGATGGAAGTGGGATTAAAAATGCTTTCAATGACTCCATGTCTTGATTGGAGTGTACTTGATTTAATGATAATGATCTGGGATTTTTTTAATCAACCCTGATTGCATTTTTCATGGAATTTCATTTTGGAATTGACCACGGCACTGGTTTGGTTTGACCTCTTTTTTCTCATGGCTGTGT